GGCAGGATTGAAAACTAAACTACACAGCTTTAATTAAAACACTAATGAATGATACAAGAAAATATATACAATTATATACAAATATATTCAGGAATGGGCAAAAAGCCTCTCGCCTCCCCCACCCCAGCAACTCCCACAGCACTTCCCTGAACTGGGAAGAGTCCTGAGGAATCCCGGAGCTGCTGCTGGAGAAAGCAGAGAGTTATGGGGGTCAGGAGAGATCAAGCCTGAGGATCAACGGTGATGGATGAACAGAGTCCTCCCTGGACGCCGGCCATGGACCGAAGAGAAGGGAAGAAGAAGAAGGAAGGAAGTTGTCTTCTGTGATCTCTGACCTTCCTTTGAGCTTACGTAGATATATGGAATGGAATATCTTTGGCCAATTTTGCTGTCCGTCTAACTCAGCCTCCTACGGGGGGGGGTCACAGATCTCCCCATAGTGTCTGAGCCGGCAGAGTGCAGGTGCGGCCTTGAAGCCTCAGTAGTTAGAAAAACATTCCTCTGTCTTATCAGCCTAGCAGAACACACTGTTGCTAGTTACAAGAAAGCTTACTGAAGGAAAAAAAAATCAGTAAAAAGAAAAATTGGCTTCCTCCTGGCTCAAACCAGGACAGCCTGAGAGTTAGGTTACTGTTAGACCTTTAATGAACCAGATTAGTCTACATGTAGAACTTTCAAAATTTTTGTCCAGCACTGAGCTATTTAAAATATCTCACGGGATCCACAAAAAGAATCATACCTTGAGAAGAAAATGCAAGTGGTGGCACCATTGAATTAATTTAGGAGAAGGAATCCTCCTTGCTGGTTTGCTCAGGTTGATTAGCTCTGTGCTGGAATGTAAGGGTATTTTGTGAAGACTTTGACATAATGACACATTTCCTCCTTTATTATACTCACCTTCCTAATCTGGCTCCAGCCAGTCTGCTTGGAACAATTGCACTCCCTTCAAACCTGGTCAGGTCTGCTGCTCTCTTTTGCTGTGTTTACAGTAGCTCTCTTCTATCTTAATAGCACTTGTGTTAAACATATATTAGGCTCAAGCTTACACATTTTTAGGCTTTGGTGAATTTTACATTCTTGGATGAAAAGTCTGTTAGACATCTATGTTATGCTTTATTTTCTTCTCCAGCCCTTTGCCGTGCAAGTTTTTACTGGAGGATAAGAAAAAAAAAAAGTGACTAGTATCTTTTGGATCATGAGTCAGGAGTGACAAATCAAAGTTTAAAATCTTTCTTTTGAAGAACAGGTAATTGTGTAAAGAGAGAGATACAAAGCTTAAACTGAATATAAATACTGTTCTCTTCTAAAAATACGCTGTTCAAAAACTTAATTTATAATTTACTTTTTTAATTGGCTTTAAAGTTTGATAAACGGTTGATTTTGATGAGCTGTAGTACAGTCATCATCTTGCTTTTTGAATTGGGGAAAAAAAAAAAGCATGCACAGAATGCTAATAATCTCAGAGGGTTATGGTTGCACTGGGGCCACACAATCTGTAGCATGAATGTATATTCAGGTTATGCTGCTTGGTCCCAAGACTAGAGAAAAGCCTTTGATTCTCTTTAGCAGAAAAGTCATTAAAAAGTTTCATCAAAAACTACGTGCTTCTGTGTTTGTAAATATGGGCTGGGAATGAGAAGTCATGGGGTATCTATCTACATGTAATGTTATAAGCTGTTTAATGTCAGTTGGAAACCAGTAAAATAGTATCTAGCATCTAGAAATGTACAATTATGGGGTCTGTTATCAAAATAAAAAAGTATATCGGATGCAGTAAGGATTTTTTTCATATTTGTTTATGAAACAAGCCCTAGGTAATGATCTTAAATGCTCATCTTATTTTTGTTTTAAAATACCGGGTTTTGAAGTGTTGAAGTTTAAAATTTCTGACTTTAGAGAGTCATCTTGTCTACACAAGCCAAATAGTTTCTAATATCTTTAAAGACTGTAGCTCACAGAGGTAAGAAACATGTAGCAAACAAGTATTTTTATGAGTAGCTATGATCTCCTTAGTATTACACTTAATGACATCTGGATATTAAAAGGATTTTTTAACTGGTAGTAAGCAGACATACAGCCCTGTTCATGCTCTGAGAATTTAGAATTTAGGTCTTGATCATGTGGATTTGGAGCTCTTATTTGGGTCTGGTAACTGCAACATTTCCCAATCCATGCTAAGATTGCTACTTCATATTGGCATGGAAATCTTACATGAAGTCTCCAATAAAACTTTCAGAACACTGAGCCATGTTTATTAAAAAATGCAACTTTGTTATGCCTAGTCAGTTTACAATTTTGCAGGTTTTTGTTGTGTTTATCACTGGAGATCTTGGGGAAGATCTACCTAAAAAGATTGGGAAGGCAGTTTTTTGTTAACCATATAGATGAGAGTATGGTGTCATCTTCATATATGAGATGGAGAGTTCTGAACCATAGCAAAGTGCAGTAAAAAATAATTGAAGTTTTGGATGTTTGGCAACTCAAAAAATTTATCTGTATTGGTAAAAGCTTGGTTTCTACATTCAGGCTTTAGAGATACATGTATTAGGATACTTTTTCCCCAGCCCCAGATACAGCTTGCATGCTTCAGCATGAAGAAGCATGTGACAGCATTATGTTCAACAGGGAAAAAAAACCAACACATTGTTGCCACAAAGCATAGAAGTGTTTGGAGTGAAAAAACATGCTCTGGGGGCACAGTTGGTATGGTTTTTATGTGGTTTGGTTTTTTAGTATTCCAGATTCAACAAAATATATTGAGGGCTGGATGTTGGTAGGTTTGTGTCCTACTGCTTATTCTGACCAACAGTTTTTGAATTTTCTCTCAGGTGGCACAGGCATAAAGTCTCACCGCTATGGGTTCTTCATGTGTCTGATAACATGGTTTTGATGCAACTGATTATTTTTTTTTTTCTTTTTCAATGCCCTTAACCACTTGCCTCAACTGTATTAACTGGTCTGTTTTCATACAGCTTTAGATCTGAAAAATCAGTAGTGGTGTTGTTTCCTTAAATCCAGGATGATCAAGGACACAATTCTGGTGTTGGATAATATGTTTGCTGGTTTTGTTAATGATTGCTTGTCTTAAAAAACATTGAGGGTTGAAGATGGGGATTGGGTGTAGCAGTGTTACTTTTTGGGTTGGGGGGGTTGGTTTGGGGCTTTTTTGGCTTGATTTGGGTTTCTTGGAAAACTGTGTGTTCTCCTCAGTAAAGTTTTAATCCAGTAGTTTGCCTTCAGTGGTACTCTTTTAAAAATATTTGTCATCCAGGTGCGAATTTTCCGTATAATCTGGATTAACTCCTTTGGCAGCAGGTGTTCACTGAGATGCTACAAAATCAGTCTTGCAGTATTCTTTTTTATTTTGTGTGAAACTGCACACAAAATATAGTGTGAAAATAGCTGGTGTTTAATATAGTAGAGGTCTCCAAAAGTGCTCACAGACCTAGGAAATGCAGTGATGTAAGAAATCTTTGTTTTTAACTCCTCTTTTTAGGAGGAAGTAGGTTTAAAAAGAATCAAAACCAATGAAAAACCATAATTTAAAACACCTTTGAACTGCAGAATACTTTTTTTTTTCCCCTTTTTTTGCTGCAGCACCTTTTCCTGCACATCTAAAGCAAATAGTTGAGTCCTTCCTATGTTTTCATGTAGGCAGTTGCACCTACATATTGTTGACCATTTAGGGAACTCAGCGTGGGATTATTTTAATGCTGAAGGACTTCATATGTGCAGAAAGAATGTCATCCTTCTAGAGATAGAAGGAGAAGGCAGTAAAACTTGAGATAAGATGCTTAGTGGTGTGGTATAGGATAGGGGGAATAAATAATGAAGTGCAGGAGAAAAAATATTATTTTCCTCTGTAATAATTAGACATTGAAGGGAGAGGAAGAACACAAAGGATATGTAGGAATAATCTAAGTACTGACAGGATTTTTTTTAATTTGGTGATTTTTTTCTCAGTTATAGTTATAATTAACCTTATTTTTCTATATGCTTTAAGAAATTTTGTATTTTTATCAAAAAAACCTGCATATGTAACAAAATGTAAAATGAAAATTATGAAAATATGTTAACATTGAAATTACAGACTATTAAAATTTCTTGTTCACCTCTCACTGTAGGCTTTCCAAATTTAGTAGTAATATAGAGGTACAGGTTTCCTTGCTGTGCATTTTATTACATCTAGTGATACAGAAGCAGATCAGTGCATGTCCCTCCATTCTTTCTTGTTCACCTTGGATTTTTTTAATTGAGCAATATTCAGTGTAAAACTGTTTTTGCAGTTAAACTGAATATGCAAATATATTTTAAGACCCAGCCAATTTAAAGTGGGGAAATGAAGTGAAAACTGCGACTTTGCTTCATAACCAAATGTGCGTGTACACCTGTAATGGTTTTGTAGCCAAATAATTCTTTTAATTATTCCTAATTAGTGTTTTCATTATAGTTGAACATGAGCCATAAATACCTCCGTGTCTAGGTACATAAAAAAAATAATTAGATTTTATTAATCTCAGTTTTTAAAATAATACTTCTGTTTATTTTCTCGTGTCTAATAGCCTTTCTGGCAGAAACCTGATTTCAGTCTGAAAGGAGCATTAAATTAGTCCAGTGCTCAAAAACTGTATATAATAAATATACAAATAAAATTCCCACTGATACAGGGTGTGTCTTATTTAATTTGCTGAACCTGTAGCAAGTCTGTACTGAGCAAAGTGCTTTCTGTGGGCATGAGATGCTTTTGAGATTGAGAAGATTCACTCAATATACCAATAATGTCCTTAACCTGTACCACCTATCAGCAACTGTTACTGAATAAATTGACTGTAATGGCAATGAAGTTAAAATTGCATTCTTGTAATAGGAAGAAATTTAAACAGAGACTTTTAACTGCTCTTATGATGCATGTTTTCAGGTAATGTGCAAAGACTGCATTTTGTTCTTAAATTTGATATGTTAGACAATGGTATCTTTTCCTCCTCTCTTCTTTTTGGAAGGTGGTCTTGGAATGCACATTAAAGAAGGACCTCGTTTACAACAAAGTTACTCCTACTTTTTACCACTGGAAGGTTGATGACAAAAAGTTTGGCCTCACATTTCAGAGTCCTGCTGATGCAAGAGCATTTGACAGAGGTATTCGGAGAGCAGTAGAGGATATTTCTCAAGGTACATATTTCAGGTGAAGGGGCTTATGGGGGCAGGGAGGCAGGTGTTGGGTGTTTAGTAAATGGGGTAAGTCAGACCGCTTTGCATAAGATTAGTGCTGACAGTATTTGAAGATGTGAATTCATCTATAGCATATTGAGATTTGAACAGTTCCTAAAAAGTACTTCTAAACAGCATTTCTAAAGTGCCATTCATCCAAGTGTCTTAGATTGTTTCTCAAACACTAATAAGGTAATACCCTGAAACATCCCTACATAATAAAGCATTGCCTCTTTTTTTAGAGATGAAGAAATGGAGGAAGTTAGAACACTATAGTGTCTTACTTGGATCTTCTTAGAAGCTTTTTACAGCTTCTGTGTTCTTAGAGGATAAGCTGTGAAGTTGAATGATTTAAGACTCATTGAGTTCTCTTTTTACCTGTGCATACTTTCATTTAATATGTTTATTTGTTTACTAACACTGACAGTAGTTCTGAGGACAGGTTTATATGGGACTGCAGAATAATTTAATAGTAATATGGCTAACTGGTTCCAGAGTTTCATGGACCTCTCAGAAACCAGTGAGCAAACTGAAGCAGATCATCAAGCCTTGATTCCGAGCTGAAAATGTGATAAATGTATTGGCAGATGGGGAGAGGGAAGGAGGAATACAGGTGTCTATTGAATGGAAGGAATATCTCTTCAGGCTTGTAAAAAGTAACTCACAGGGAGAAATTTCAACAAAATATTCTATGCTGTGATGTTCTGTAAATTTAAGGATTTAATGTGTTATATTAGCAAAGTAAGAAACATGTTTCTGAAGGGAAATATTTTTTTACATACTAGAATGACTTTTTTTTTTTTAATTGTGCTGATATCATCCATATCCCTGCAAGAGAAATAATTAGAGAACATATGACTTCTCTCTTAGGGTCTCACAGTTGCAATATCTACTGATTTATACCAAAATATAGCACAGCGTGCATTCATGTCAAGCAAATGTACTTGCCTTTAATTTTCAAAATGCTACATTAGCAAGAATATACTCCCTTGCTTCTGACTTCTGATGACACTTTAGCAAATGCTTTTGCAAGAAAGGTGTGAACAAGAGAGAGGAGTGTGGCTAGGAATATTCAGTATATGAAATGCAGAATGCAGAAAGTTACAATCAACATGAAATATAGAGAACTGGTTTAAAAAGTAAACAAGCATGTCTATATCCTCATAGCTGGATATTGAAGGATGTTGTGGACTACTAGAAGCAGTAAACTGTAAATAAAAAGAAAGTAGTCTTGCAATTTGGGGTTTTTTACCTTTTTCTGTAGGTTATCCACCCTCTCAAAATGATGTTGAAGTGGCAGAAGACTGCTTTCAAGTGAGTATTTCAATTTTTTTATTGATTGTGCAGTTATTTTTTTAAGAAATTCATTGAACAATTTTTTTTCATTAATGAGAATAACCAAAACAAGAGCAATAGCAAAATTCCATTTGATGAAGTGAGTTCAAGAACAATTATCTAGAAGACTGAAAATGTTGTCTGATCTAAACTTAAGTAGTCAATATTTAATCAACAGGTTGATTAACCGTCCTGAGTTTAATTTTTAAGTTTACAATGTCTGTTCTAGGTTTTGTGTCCTCTTTGAACTCATGGGAACATGGAGTATTCTTTGGGGGGAAAAAAAAAATAGAGGGGTCAGGAATCTTACTCTGCTACATGCACATCCTATATGTTTTCCTAGATTTCACTCTGCAGTGATTGACACTTCTAATGTTATTAGAGTTGAAAAGATGCTGAAACAATGGTTTAAGAATCCAGTCCAAAGAAGGGCAGAGGCTCAGATAAATTTAAAAAACACTGAAGATAAAGCAGTCACTTCTTGAGATTCAAGTTTGTATTGATCCATATTTGCATCGTTCTATTTCTATAGGTTATAATGGCAGAAGAGAATAATATGAATTCTGAAGCATAATGTGCTTCAGAATTATACTGCTTACACAAAAACCATATTCAGTACTGTAACACTGATGTGTAGCACTGCCTGGGAATATCCAAGAATCCAGGTAGTTAAAAAGTCAGTATAAACAAATACTATGGATACATATATAAAGTAAATAGCGGTAATATAACTGAGAAAAAAACCTACTTGTGTCTATGTGTACTTGTCATTTCTTCTACAGTTTAAGGGAAAGTCTTGCATTTACTTACATATACATTCACTTTTCAGAGTGTACATATTGAAGTTAATATGAAGCTGATGCAGAATGAAGTTTACTAAGGGGTCTTAGTCACTATTCAAAAAACTAATAGTATTCCTAAGTGGTTTCTTGTTTCTTGATGGAAAGATTTTTGTCATTTTTGCAACACTAACTTTTTTATCAGTGTAGATAGATGCAGCATAGAACCTTTGCCACACAAAATCAAGAAAATTAGCAGCCTACTTTGAAGATATCGGTAAGAACCAAATTACGATAGGAGATGGAGAGTCAAGTATTAGAAAGGATACTGCAATGCAGTGGCAATGCAGAAAAGTCTCCTGGTTTCTTTCCATTTTGTGGTAGAAAAAAATGTGTCTCTGTGTAAGTGTTGGCTGTGCAACCACCTGTTGTTCTTTATTGCTTTATTTTAAGGCACTTTAAAGTAAAACCTATAAATACTGGATGTTTTGGATTTAAAATAGGAATGAGATTTTGACATGGTGGAGGAAATGTGTGCCAAAGTTAATGCAATTCTTAATCAGCTTTTAAAAGACTTGTTTAAACAAGCTTTGTTGCAAGGATTAATAACTGAGCAATTTCTACAGGCCTAATGAGATTAGAGGAAACTAATTACCTCTTGATTATGCTGCCTAGCTATTCCATTTCTATATAAGTATGCCAAAAATGAAGGAAATATCCAGGATTATTTATATTTATGAAGTTTGTTATTGAGAAAGTGGAGAAAAGTGTATTTACATATTCTAATCTGTAGAGGTATATTTAGATATGTAAATAGAGAATGTAGATTTACTTCTTGTATAATACAAATACATATACTTTATATATACATACATTTTAAAAAAATCTCTCTGTATATATAACTTAATTGTACAAACAATCCTGTTTGGTGCAACCCACTGCTAGAATTATCTGTTGCGTTCCATACAGACAGGAAAACATTTAATAACTTCATCACAGCACACATTGTTTTAATTGTGAATTCATGCTGGGAATACAAGCCAAGAATTACCTGTTTTCTAGAGATGACAAAAGCTAGCCAATCTCGCTTGCCATATCTTGCATAGCAAAGTAAAATAAATTATGCTAGATTTGCCTATTGATAACAATGCCAGAAGGAGGGGGAAAGAAATGCCAGAAAGGCTGAACCCACCCTCGTTTAGCTATGCTTCATTTAATTCTGGTTTATGTATCAGTAACAAAGTCATAATTGCAGGATTATGAATGTCAGTGTAGAGAGGCTATAGCATTTTCCTTACAGGCACCAGGTCTAGTCATCAAGAATATCTTGGAAATACCAAATTGTGTACAATCTCTTCTAAAAATTATTAGGTACTTCCACCTTCCAAGATTTATACTGTTGTTAAGTGGAACTTGATATTGCAGGGTGTTTAAATTGAAAGACTGCTAAGGCCATTTTGTTTGAAGATAATATATTATGTATTTGAAGAGTAATGTTGACTTGTCCCTCCTTCTTCCCACCCCACTATATTTTAAAAGGCATAATGATTTGTTCTCCCCTGTTTATTCTATAAGCTGTTTTCCCAAGTCTCTCATAGTGTTTTTAGTAAGTTTTAGAGTGTGTATGTGTATGGATATATATATGTGTGTATATATATATATATATAATGCATGGATATTTTAGAGTGTGGCTAGAATGTTAAAGAGCTGGATGATACTTGGATATGAGGGCAATGGGATGTTTTTTCTTCATCAAAACTGTCTTCTAGAATCATAATTTGTTACCTCCAAGGAATGAAGTGCAAAAAATCAAGCAGAAGGGCTTCTCTATTTAATTAAATATATTAAGTATTAATAAGTCTAAAATAGGAAAATATTTTTAAAAGAGAGAAGTTATTTAGCACTATACTTTTCATAGCATGTTTGTAAATGCACTTTTATTTTTGTCTATACCCTGGAGTAACTGTCATGTGTAGTGATATTCTTCAGTTTCATTTTTTCTTCTTTAGTTAGTATGATAGGCAGAGTGCCCAGAATGTACATTTGAAAATACTCATTTTCATACATATTTTTCAGTTACATCATCTACCGTCAAGGTGTTTCAGCTGTGCTGTTCTAGTCATCTTACACAGCAGGTTTTTTAATGCATATTTGAAGTATGAATATAGTGCATAGTTTGTATATAAATTTCACTAACACTGGTTCTTTCAAAAATTATGATGATTAGTGATGAAGAAAGCAAAACATGCTTCGTGAGTTATTTTACTGGCTGGTTATATTCAGCACTAAAGAACAAATAAAAGGATCCAAATAAGATCAAAATACCCAGCTTTCTTAGCTAGTCGGTGGCACTGCTGGCAAACTGCAATGCCTACTCTTATTAGATATTATCACCTTTTATAGATGTAGAAAGCAGGAACAAGGGTTGTCCAAAGCTTGCACTTGTGACTCTCTAATGCAGATCCTAAAACTGAACTCTTACCTTGTGCTTTCTAGGCTTACATTTTCCTCACTGTAATGTGTTGTATCATCTTGAGTAGCATTATGCACCATATACAGAACAACCAGGTGATCAGGCCCAGTCAGCAGCTGGACTTCCATAGGGTCTTTGACACTGTCTCTCACAGCATTCTGATGAAAATGCTGGCTGCATATGGCTTGGAGAGGCGTATGCTCTGCTGGGTAAAACACTGGCTGGATGGCCAGGCCCAGAGAGTGGTGGTGAGTGGAGTTAAATCCATTTGGTGGCTGGTCACAAAGTGGGGTTTCTCAGGGCTCAGTATTGAGACCACTTCTTTTTTACATCTTTATCAATGATCTTGATAAGGAGATAGAATGCACCCTCAGTAAGTTTGTGGACAACACCAAGTTGGGAGGGAGTGTTTATCTGCCTGAGGGTTGAGGGTAGGGAGGCTCTACAGAGAGACTTAAACTGGATCGATGAGCTGAGGCAAATTGTGTGAGCTTCAACAAGGCCAAGTGCCAGGTCCTGCACTTGGGCCACAACAACCCCATGCAACGCTAGAGGCTGGAGGAAGAGAAGTTGGAAAGCTGTCCAGCAGAAAGGGACTTGGGGGTACAAATTGATTGAATATGAGCCAGCAGTGTGCCCAGGAGGCCAAGAAGGCAAATGGCATCCTGGCCTGTATTAGAAATAGTGTGGCAAGCAGGACCAGCGGGGTGATCCTCCCTCTGTAGTCAGCATTGGTGAGGCCCCACTTCAGATACGGTGTCCAGTTTTGGGCACCTCAATACAAGAAAGACATTGAGATGTTGGAGCATGTCCAAAGAAGAGCAACGAAGCTGGTAAAGAGCCTTGAGAACAAGTCTCATGAGAGGCAGCTGAGGGAACTGAGGCTGTTTAGTCTGAAGAAAAGGAAGCTAAGGGGACACCTCATCACTCTCTACAACTGTCTGAAAGGACATTGTAAAGAGGCAGGCACTGATCACAAGTAACTGGAGATAGAACAAGAGGAAGTGGCCTGAAGCTACACCGGGAGAGGTTTAGACTAGACATTAGGAAGAACTTTTTCACTGAAAGGGTTGTCAGACATAGGAACATGCTGCCCAGGGACGTGGTTGAGTCAACCTCCCTGGATGTGTTTGAAAGTCATCTAGATGTGGCACTTGGGGACATGGCTTAGTGCTGGACTTGGTAGAGTAGGGTTAGTGGTTGGCCTCAATGATCTTAAAGGTCTTTTCTAACCTAAGTGATTCTGTGATCTTGGGTCACTAGTTTGTTGGGTTTTTTATTATTATTATTACGTTCTTTAAATAAAATTTCACAGAAAAAGCTTTCTTCATACTGAAGTTGATTTTTAAGACAGTTTCGCTATAGCTTCTTTAGATACTCTGTTGATCACAAATAATGTTGAAGTATTGTTTTTTAAAAATACCGTTGCTGAAGGGTGTTCATTCTTGCTTATAAAGGTTGCTTACATGAATACAACTACTATTAGTTGTTTAATGAACATATTATATGCAAATTGTTTATATCATTAAATAAGCCTTAGACTTACTAGATTAATTTCAAACAGAAATACACAGATGAGTTAATGCAGAGCTATCTGGCTTCCTGTAGTGCTTGCAACTGGATCCTGGGAATGTATATATAGTTATAAGGAAACATACCCTAGTAATTTGTTTTGGTAGGAGGTTTGGATTTTTTGGTATAAAAACAGGCATTTTGAATGCAGTAGACAAGCTGATTGTTTAAGTCAGTTTGCTTGTTTGTTTAAAGATTGGCTCAGATTCTTTTCCTCTAATCAAATATAAACTATCTGACTTAATTGAAAAAAAATGTAAGAATCTGATATTTTTTTTTCCTTAGAAGTAAATCTAGCTAAATGAAATCTAGAGCTCATGCATTTAGAAGTATTTTATGTGGGGTTTGGATCCTGAAATGTGTAAGTTTTGCTTTCGAAAACTGAAAAATAGAGCAGTTGGGTCTTAATCTCTTTCAGGTTTTGTTGATTCAGCCATACTGGTGTTATTTATAGGCTACCATCACATTTTAACAGTTTTGAAGTAGTAAGAAACGGAGCACTTATGCTTTGAAGTTTCTTACTACTGCCAGAAGAAAACTGTAGACTGATAAATTATAAGCAGAAAAAAACAGTGTAGCATGTTCTTTCAGAAATAGGTAGGTACATTGGGGTTTTTGTGACTATGAAGGGGAAAAGGCCTGCAACACATGCCTTTTCATAAATATGCTATTTAGGGACTGTTCAATTTATTTTGTGTATAACAAAAGGTTCACAGAAGTTATATTTTACAAAAATAACTGGACATTGTGACTTGTAATGAAATGTGAAATTATTTACCTTTGACACTGTATTGTTTTTATGCAGAAGAAGATACTGCATGATAAAACACTAAAGATTACAGTATTTAGTGCACTTAATAAATTGTCTGCTGTAGCTGCTAGAACTAAACGTAATACTTATTTATATTATCCATTTTAAATAAGTCCAGTAATATACCATGCTAAAATTATTTGAGTTTATTAAGCTTTTTTGTGGAGTAGTATTTGAAAAAGTGGAGGAAGTTTTGGGTTTGTTGTTTTTTCTCAGCAGTATCCCTAACTGACTTTACATCTCCCTCTCTATGTTATTTCCTCAGAGTGTTATGTTTTATGTTCTAATTTACTAGTTCCTTCCTTGGAATCCCTAAAAACCTCTATTATGCTTTATATATGCAGGATATATAACCTAGAAAGAAAGAGGCTTGTCAGATACCTTGTTTTTTACTTTAAACTGTACAAACCATCCAGAGTAATCTAGGTAATATTTCAGTCCGTGTCAGAAATATATACCTGATTATAATAAGAGCTTCTTTGCCAAATACGAAAATAGTTGCTCCATCAAACTTAGAAATAACTAAAGTACAAGGAAGTTACTCATGTTTTTGAAACCTCTATCATTTATTCATTATTTTAAAATTAAGGAAACGAAAAAATAATAATTTAAAAGCTTCTTGTATTGGTTAGTATCAAACAGTAGACTTTCAGGCCTCGTGGGAGGTAAACACATGAATTGGGATGCAACAGAAATGCGATCTCTCATCCATCCTTCTATGTAATCATTAAACTTACTCAGAGCAGAACATTTTTAACAATGTTTGCAGAACAATGTTGAATTCCCTCCCAGACTTAACTCTGGCAAATGGGAAAAGTAAGGAAAGAAAATTTGAAGAAGAAGAGAAGCTCAGTCTGGTTTTCATTTTCTCTACAGCTGTCATCTGGCTTTGAATTCTGCTGGAGAGCTACAGCTGGAGTCATTTTATTGCTTTACCCAGCATCCTTTTCCCTGCGCGCACAGAAATGTTTTAGTAGTCTTGGAAAAAAATTCAGAGTATCTCTTAGCAACCATAGGACAGTAATTATTATACCAGCAGCTGGGAGCAAACCAGATTTCCGTTGTGCATTTAAAACTGGCGTAGGATACTTTACAGATGATACTGAATAACCTATGCCAGTACTGTACTTTGTAGGCTGTGGTTAAAGGATATTGAATGTGGGCGATGTAATTTCTTTGAACAGTAGAAAAGGGGAATGTGTGCATCTGTGTTTGTGTGTAATATTCTATATATTTAATATACCAAACCTATTTCATGTGGAAAACTTTACATTTTTGCTTTTTCCTTAAATACGTTTTGCAATACAATAGCTTTTTTTTTTTTTTCTAGAGCCTCTCCTGGAGGTTGTCTGTATTTCCACTAAAAATGTGGGGTTTTAGGTGTTTATGACCTTGTCATAAAACATCACATTGGAGTAGGAAGTGAAGCTGCTTTTTGACACTAATGAATGTGGTTTGGCTGCATCTAAACTATCAGTTTAATTAAAAATACAGAGTTCAGGATATTCATCTGGCATTTCTGTAGTTCTGCATAGTCAGTAGGCTAAATAAGATCGTAACTGAACTGATCACTAACATTCCTCACAAACACCAGAAGTGGCTGTGTCTGCTTGCCTATAGTGTTGGGGTTGGTAGGCTGGGTGTTGTACTTTCCAAACAGCTATCTCATGAGTTCTTACCTTATAATGGTCAGATGCCTTTCTCTGTCGACTTTCACTCCCAGATTTGTCCTTGAAGTCAATTAACTTGAATTGAGGTGTTTGTGTTGGAATTCTATAAAAGCATTCCTTTGTAATTGCTGGGTATAGGGCACAAAGGCTTGCTTTAAGATTAAGGTTTGTATTTTATATATCATTGTCTGGTGCTGCTAGTTAGCACTGTAATACATGATCAGTTCCTGTATTCTGTTTTAGATTGAGACCTTTTTGACTGCCAAGGGGAGTGTGTGTGTCTGTGAGAGCATGCGTCCCTTTTGCCCTACAGTTGAGGGTTTATTATTTTTAAAGAAAAAAGGTGTGAATCACTTTCATGGACAGGAAATAATGCAGGCTATTGCAAATCTCACCCAGGGATAAAGACTGGCTTGTGGGTAGGATGTGTTTTTTCCTTGGGAGGGAAGGAGGAGTAGTTTTGCAGCTCTCATCCCTTCTCCGTAGACCACTCAAATTGGTAATAGATAGGGGGGTAGGAGGGTTAGGTAGTGCTTATCACTGTGGTTTCTGTAAAATGGCTTTAGATGTTCCAAGTGTTCCTAGCTTAAATTGTTTCTGCTTGTAAGCGTTTGTAACATTGCTCAAACCAAAAATAGTTCTAAGCATTTCTTCCTCATTCTGGATGCAGCTCTCCGTGCTTTGGAAGCTTTTATGTCATTGGGCAATGTAGCTGGAGTAGTACCTCCTGTTAGGAAGATGTTTGATATGGCACTAATATTTGATGGTTTTTGCCCTTAAAATAAGTATATACCCATGAAATCTATCTCTTGCCAGTCATTTCAATATTTCTTTTGTACTCCTCTCCCTAGAGTTTTTGAGCAGAAAATTTAATTTTGTCAACAAGGTTGATTGCTTAGTGGCACTATCATACTCAAGGATCTGCCAGAAGTACTTTTTCCTGGAGTTTTGTCTCTTCAAAAGTTTTCAGTAGAACTTCAACCTGATGGAGCTGTTGTCTTTTCTGGGGCGTATGCTCTCTAGAATTAAAACTGATGATTGATTTTTAACATTTTGCCAGTCATAGTACTTCTGAACAATTCTTAAATCCTTAGTGATGTGGTAATTTTCTTTCTCCTAAAGATCAGCTACAGAACAGCTATTTCGCCTTTATCAAGGTGTCTCAAAGCTTTATACCTCAGGCTTTTATGTGAGGTGTTAATGTAATCCCAGAATAAATTCCTTAAGTTTTTGATAAAAGAAAACTAATGATTCAGTGATAGTATTTAACCTGCCAAAACTTCAGGTTTGCCTCTGCCTCAGTAATTTTCTGCAGTGTTTTTATTGTTTCCCCCTTAATGTTTTCTTGATATATACAGATCCTTACCATAAAGCTGAAACATTCTCATGCTGGATCATGCCAGAATTTTCTCAGTGCTATCAGCTTATGACAGTCAGTTACATCTACAGCATTTCTTCATGCAAACAAAACATTGTCTAGTACATTTTTGGCAGCCCAATGGAATTTGTATCAATATGCACTACTGTATCCTAAGTATATCCCAGTCACTTAAGCTTAAAGAATGAGAACTGTTTATTTTTTAGTTCTTTTCAGAAATTAGATCATCTCACAAGCCAATATTCCACCCAAATGTACTTCCTCTTCCTTATTATCAGAGGCACATGTCCTGCAGCTACCCTATTATATGTTGCCATGTGGTCTCATTTTGGTGTCAGATTCCCTGATACAGCCTTAATTTCAAAAAGACAGTCGTTAGTTGTTCAATACACACTTGCTGTGATTAGATATTTTAATTGAGCCAGTATATGTTAAAAATGGCTTTCAGTGCCTTTCCCACTGATCTTGCTTTTAATTTATTAAAAGACTAGTGTTTCCCTTATTAATCTCAGATTATTTTTTTTGTCCAGTTGTATATTTTTAAATGCTGGCAGCCTTGTGGGAAGCTAGGGAAAGCATAATCTTAGAAACTGGGCTGATCTCTCCTTCCTTGGAGAAGTTCCTCAGTCTGATTTGGCAAGTGAGTTATAACAACGTGTATCTCTAATGCCCAAGTTGTGTATGCTCTGCAGAAGAGGAACTCTTATTTTTCAAGGCAGACTCGTAATAAAGAAAATACTTGTGTACTTATGAGTACTTTAAAAATGTGTATTTAAAAATGCTTGTGTTTATAAATGCCTCTAACACATGAAGTAAAATATTAATACATTTATGTATGAACTTTGGTGGGTTTGGTGTGTTTTTTGTATAAATGCACAATCATTTCAAGGGAGTTCTTATGTGTTCTAGACTACTCAAGAAAATACATCAGGTTCATTAATGAAAGATCACCTTTTCCAACACGAAACTGTAGTAACCAGTGAACCTTACAACAATGCAAATTTAAAGCCTTCAGCATTTGAGGATTTCAGCACCAGGAGAGCCTGTTTTCCTAGCCAACCTAACCAGGTAAGACTACCAACAAAAGAAGAGGTTCTTTATTTTCTTGCTGCATTAATGGCACAGTATATAGTTTCTGATAAGAAGGCACTGTTATTCTAAATCTCTGTATCTAGTATTACACGCTCAACTTCTTGAAATTATCAATAAAGCTTTGCAGCTGAAACATTACGGAATCGTTATGGCAGATGTAGAGCTCTGTGAAGGTATTTGCCTATTTACTTTTTTACCTGTAATGCAGCAGACTATATGAATAAACATTTCAATTTTTTTGAAGTCAGGTTTCTTTATGAGACTTCTCTATCTGCAGACTTGAAAAGCTGTTTGAATTTGTTCTGAAAATGTTACCTGGCCATGAGCTCAGTCTCAGTTACATGTATGCTAATAGTGTTTTGATTATAAACATTGTGTCTTTAAAATACTTTTTATCTTGGATGTGTCACACAGTGGGGCACTTTTGCTAAATATTTTTAGTGAATCATTGTTTATACTTTCTAACTGCCTATTTAAACGAAAACACTCTATTTTGGTAATGAAAGGAAAACATTATCTTAGTTATGCCTGAAAAGTATTAAGCTATTGATTACCAGATTCTTAACACGGAAAAAAACCCACTGATGTGGGTGTACATGCAGAAGGCTGATGTACAGACATTTTTTTAATTGGGTCATATTTATGCATTAGATTGCAAAGGCAATGTTACAGCTTTTTTTTTTTTTTTAAAAAATTTCATTTTGCTTTATTCTAAGCCTCAAAGAACTGACAGGTTTTGTAGACTGTAGAAGAAGACTTCGTAGTGAGTTGGATAACAATCTAAAGTTCTTGGGCCTAGAAGCAAACACATGGGAAGCTTTTTAGAATAAGCTTAATAACATTTTTTTTTTTTTTTAACAATATTCATTTTGCTTTATTCTAAGCCTCAAAGAACTGACAGGTTTTGTAGACTGTAGAAGAAGACTTCGTAGTGAGTTGGATAACAATCTAAAGTTCTTGGGCCTAGAAGCAAACACATGGGAAGCTTTTTAGAATAAGCTTAATAACAGAATTCAAAGCAGAATGCAGGTTCACGTAGTTATGAACATGTAATCAGAAAATATTTCTGCTCATTGAAATAAGCTTTTTAATATCCTCAGTCATTATTGCAAGGAAAGATAGGATTGTATTATTCTTGTGTCTGCTGCTTTCTAACTGCTTTATTAGGCAAAAGAAGCAAACAGTGTTATCTGGAGAATTAACTAAAGAGCATGAAATTACAAACTTCAGGTTTTCAGTCATTGCTTGAGCTCAAATTATCTCTGTGTAAGTCACCTCATATTTTTGTTTGTTCTGTTAATCAAGAATTATATGTTTCCCTCTTCCCATTTGCTTGCTAAGAGAATTAAAACATTTCTTAGAATAGATGAGTGATTAGGTGTTGTAGCTAACACTTTTCATTTACAGTAACCAATGATGTACGTGCTGTTAGTCTTCCCAAAGTTGAAAAGAAAAGTGCAGTAGCCTAAAATACCTGTCTGTTTTCATAGCACATAGGGAATTTGCTGCAGAGCTGTGGTATACTGGGGGTAGTGCCTGTTTGATAGAAATTAAAGATGAATGTCTTTGAAACGACAGTGTTAGAATTAATTTCTTGTAGACTGTAGTTATGGGAGATTCCTTGGAAATTGAATTAGATATTCTTTAAACTATTGTTCTCATATTGTAGCACCACCTGCATCCAACACTCCCTGCTTTTTGCCTGGTCCTGTGGTGCACACCTTTAGAACATACGCAAGTCAACAAAATCTCACATTCAGTTTGTGCACACATTACACTGTCTCTGCTGAACTCCATGCATGTGACCATGTGGCACAGCAGATCTTGAGCTGAATACCTGTTTTGTTTCAGTGATGTATGAATAACTTTGAACACTCTTACTGTGCTTGTAGTTGAATAGCTCAAGAAGTAGATGCTCAAACTAAAGAAGTGGTTAATGACGGTTCAGATCTTTACCTCTACTAATGTGACTGTTACTAAAAAATATCCAAGTACCTCCACTCTTCAGCTACAGTGATGATACGATGTAATACACTGATGCACGTTTAACTTAAATTTAGTACTTTGCAGTGCTATATGCAGCTGCTGGTGTCCTCATATTGGGGAGCTACAAGCTGAGCAAAGTCAGGGACATCTGTTTGAGGAGAGATAGTGAAGGCTATAGTACCAAGCAAGTGTTCATGCCTTGTTTAAAGGCACAGCCCTTCAAGTAACAGTTTTAAGATCAAACAGGTGAGGCACTGAAACAGGTTGCCCAAGGAAGTTGTGGTTGCCCCCTCCCTGGAAGTGTCCAAAGCAAGGTTGGGTAGGGCTAACTTAACTACCTTACCTAACTTAATTGTTCTTAAGGTTTTTTGATGTATCTCATGCTTTCATATACATCCCATTAAACACCCAATATGTAAGCACTTTACAAGTAAAGCTTTACCAAAATTTCTCCTGTTTGCTCTTTTTCAGCATTTCCTACTTCCTTTCTTAAAAAAACCCCGATTTCTTAATATCAGTTGCATAAAGAACATAATACTGCCTTGCTTGTAACATGTCAGACCTTTGCATTTTAGTAGCTTTTTGGCTGGGGACTTGAAAAACAGAGTTCTAAGTCTTTTGTGTGTTCTGCTCAAACAAGCAGAAAGCCTTCAAAGACTAAGGAGACGTCACATTTTACAGTTGTTAGTATTTGTAGTGATCTTTAATGGCTATTAGCTGTCTGGGGAATGGGAGGTTGAGGTTTTGGGGTTTTGTTTTCTTTCAAACAATGCGTTTTATTTAATGTCTTAAGTACATGCGTAATATTCTGTGTGGATGGTGGGGTAAGGATCCTTTATGACTGTAACATAGAGAATCGTAATGACATTTTTTATGCTTTTCCCCTTAAATAAATTTATGCTGGTTACTGTTCTAGAAAGCCAATTAGCCATAGCTAGTTATTGATGGTGCAACAATGGGCTCTTTCTCTTGTTTGAGAACAGAATAGAGTGTAGAAGTACTCTGCTTTTATAAGCAAAGGGGAGGCCTAGCTGCTTGCATTGGAGCCTGGGGAAGTATGGAAGAGCAGTGATGTTAGCTGAATAGGATATAACCTTTCTTCACCCCATATCTTTTAGACCTTGTGGAAGTCTAAGTGTGTGGCTTGGAGCCAAGAAAAAAAAAAAAAGGTTCTTGTTAGCATACTTCAATTGAAACTCCCAGGGCAAAGCAGCTCTAATTACAGTTCTGTGTTTAAAATATATCACACAAGGATTATCAAGCAGGGAAGTGATGGTTAGACCATGCTACAGATATTCTTATATAATCAGAAGCTGGCATATTTTGAGAAGCTATTCCTTCCTCTTTCCCAGCTGCCTTCCTCTGGCTCTGTCTCCTACCCCAAAATCAGGGCTTGCAGACTTCAGTGTAGTAGGAGCATAGACACTTGCAAAGTGAAATAGAAGTATGTTAACTTAAATCATCATCTTCAGTAGTTAGCTGTTGCAGACTGCAACAGATGAGGAACATGCAGTTCAACTGTTGTCCTAGACTGTGGAATGGTGACACATTTAATTCTCATTAATTTGATCAGTACCAGTAAGGTAAACACTCCCAAAGCAACAATACTTATGCCAAAGATGCATTCCCAAATAATTCATTATTCTGGAAGAATGTGTAAGGCTAAGGGGTTGTGGATTGATCTTTTTTCAGTCTTTTCTGTTAGATGGTTTGCAGACTGTGCATTTGACAGGAGAAAATGGTGGAATTTGACTTTAAGCTTACTTATATTCTGGCTCTGATTATAATAGCCCTACAGTGTAGGAAAATAATTGCCTGTCTGTGAAGGCAGGAATACTAGGACCTAGTGCGACTTGCTTTTTTGCTGCACTATCTGCTATTTTTGGGAGATCCTTCCATATACGTCTGCTAAATTTTTATCCTGTCATTATTTGCACCTTTTCTTCAAAGTCACTTGTCATGTGATTCCAGTAACATTTAGTGGCAGTCTACTATGTTACATCTAAGATCTGCAGTATTTCAATTCAGATTATTCACATTTGCTGCCTTCAACAGCTTTTTCATGCCCCCATTCCCTGTCATCATAAGGCAGAATAAACAACAACTCTATCCTATCTCTTAGTTGTTTGTTTTATGTGTGTTTAGCATGTTCCTTCATACTTGCCTTTTGAGGTAAAAGGTCTTGAATTATGGTCAGGTCATTACAGGTTTAGAATTTAAAAAATACTTCGGTGTTTGCCTGCAGGTGTCCTAAACGAATCAATTTAAGTACTGTATATTAGCTAAAGGGTGTAGCATTTAGAAGCCATTGTTATTCATTGATCATGTAGGTAATACTCTTCTTCAAATGGCAAAATCCTCATCTAGAATACAGCTTTGAGAATTAAGTAACCAGTATTAAGTACTCTCATTGTAAAAGTGAAGGGAGTTTGAAAACTCAGGCAGTTAATCCCAAAGCAGTGAACCATCACGTACATGAAATCAGAAAATTCAGGTAAGGCGTAATTAAGCCGTGGGATTAATTGCCACTGTGAGATGTTAAAATGTGAATTTTGAGTGTAATTCAAAGAACAGTATCAAGTTTTATGCAGATGCCAAAATGGCCAGAGCTTTTATGAGATGCTAAAACATCAGGAAAGAATACTGAAAAAAGGCTCATTATTGTGGGGAGGTCTGTGGATTGTCCTAGTAAGAAAACAAGCTGAAATTATTATCTTCCAGCAGCAAGAAAAAAAAAAAAAATCCTGTTTTTTAATTTTCTAATCTAAGTTTTACATTGTAGGTGGACATAAATTTGGGACTTTGCTATAGTGAACTTCTCTTACTTTGCCATTTCAGGTCCCACAGAAGTCAATCAGACATGTTAGTTTTCAGGATGAAGATGAAATTGTTAGAATAAACCCTCGTGACATTTTGATACGTCGTTATGCAGACTACAGGCATCCTGACATGTGGAAGAACGACCTAGAGAGGGATGACGCAGACTCAAATGTACCATTTTCTAAATCAGACAGTAAAAAATCTGACTATTTATACCCAGATGAGGATGGAACTAAGTTGAATTCCCTGAAAGACTCAAAGAGTTCTGTGGTATTTAAAATTCAGCCTTCCTCATCAAAATTTAAAAACTCAAAAAGAAGAAAAGAGGATGGTGAGCGTTCCCGCTGTATATACTGCCAGGAAAGGTTTAATCATGAAGATAATGGCAGAGGAAGATGTCAAGATGCGCCAGATCCTATTAAAAGATGTATCTACCAAGTTAGTTGCATGCTTTGTGCAGAGAGCATGCTGTATCACTGCATGTCAGACTCTGAAGGAGATTTCTCTGATCCTTGCTCTTGTGACACTAGTGATGACAAGTTCTGCTTGCGCTGGTTAGCACTGGTGGCACTCTCGTTCATTGCTCCTTGTATGTGCTGCTACCTCCCCTTGAGATCATGCCATCACTGTGGTGAGGTATGTGGGTGCTGTGGAGGAAAGCATAAAGCTGCGGGATGAATCAGTCTTGTGCCAAACAGAGCTGAAAAATCTTTGTTTCCAGAAAGCATCTAACTTGGATTTGTGGAAGCTTTTTGGCAAGCTGAAGGGAATCTTCTTTCATGTAAGAGATGCTTGATGTGGAGGAAGCAACAAGACTTGTCAGACCTTGGCATTTTACAAGTGCTAGCCACGCCTAATTATTTCCTTTGAGCGCGTGGCATTTGTTGCAAGTTGTGAAGGAGATTTTGCAAAGGAAAGCCTATTCTTATTATTGGCTATAAAATGAGTATATAAACTATGATTATACTAAAAGGGATTAACTTTTGCCACTTTGTACATTCATGGTTTAGGTGAGGGGGCTCTTTTAAAAGGATTAAAATTTACCTGAGGGGAAATTTTAACTAAAAGTGCACTAGTGACAGTTGATTTAAGATTAAGAAAAGTTAATACTCAACAAATGAGAAATAAAACTGATTTTAAGTGCAACTAAATCACTTATTAATAGTTTTTTGGAAGCGACTTTATGTATAAATAACAAATGTTTATATTTAACTAAATGTGTAAGGTACGAATTATTACATGTTAAACTTTCCTTCCCTCTGATATAGTAGGTATGGACCATATCTACTGTCACATTCCATGGTAGTATTTTAAATATTTAATTAGTTAATTTAGTCTCATTTTTATTACAGGTGGACAAATTGGTATTTTCAGTCCTGTTTCCCTTCAGCTACAGTTTGTGTTGAGTTGTATCCATACATTCTGATAATCTAAAAACCTTTAAAATATTAATTATTCTAGTCTTGAGTGACCAATATTTTTTTGTTAAACACAGATGTAATTGTCTAAAATGTTCTTGTTAGAACATAACATTTATTTTTATATATAAATGACTTTGATTTCAACATATTAGCAAAAAGGAAGTTATTTCTGTTGCTCAACCAGCAAGTTGTTTTCTTTTGGGGTGTCCTCCAAAAATACTTTATTGCATATTCAAATGTTCATTAAGCAAAAGGTACATTAAGGCAGTTGTAACAAATTGTCATCAGTGTTCTTGTTTATCCTTCTGTTAAACTAGGATCCTGTTCAGCTGTTTATCAAGTACTATGATTAAAACAAAAGATTAATAACAAAAGTGAAATTGTTTTCATTATTTTGAACTGCAACTTTTTCTTGGTTGAACAAGCAAGAACAAAAGTACTGTGTGTTTTGTTCACAAACAACAACAAAAGACTTAGCTTGAGAAATAAATTATAGCACAGGCAGAATAGGAGTGAACTTCATAATTGAGGAAACTGGAGGGAGGATGGGGGAGGAAGTGAGAGTGAGTGTATGTATGTGTATGTGCGGTGGTATATTGTGTATGGTACTTGTTATGGCTTTGTACTTACTAAGAGATTAACTTTCAGATAAGAATGAACTGATTGACCAGTAGAGAATTTTCTAAAACATTACATGCTTTGCTCTGTCATGAAGTAAGACACATTTACTTTTCATTAAAGATACGTAAAACACTAAAACTGGTTATAATTCACTAGTGGAGGTGCCTATTTGATATCTTGGCTGGAGTGGGACAGACTGTCACTGGTATATACCCTTGTTTTTAAACAAAACACCTGATTGATTTTATAAGATGCACATGACTTACTTTTCTCACCTCCTATGCATTTCTTCAGTATATTTTGTGTAATTTTTCCTTCTGCATGTATCAGTGCTCATAGTTTTCCCTTTTAGCCTTTGTATCTGTCTGTTAAATACTTTTTAAAAGGAAACATTTATATTTATATTACAGCTTGAATTCACCACCTTGTGTACATAGATCATCTCAAAGTATTATTTCACATTGAAAAGAAGACAAATATATTGATACATTGTAGAAGTTATGGAAGAGCTTCTAGTTTTGTATTAAGAGTTGGTTGGATTAGTTTAGTCCAAGAATATGACACTGTGGCAGCAGTCTTGGGTTTTACTGTTTATATATTTGAAAACTGCTACTCCAGTTGATTTTCATGCTTTACATCTTTTCAACTAAACTTGGGTTGCCTAGAATAGACTGTTAACTTTAATAACAACTTTGGTTTAAGAATGGCAATGTTTTTCTAGTGAACTAGAGGAATTTAACATTTCTAAGTTCTAGGTTCCTAATTCACAGTGAAGAGAGATACGAACAACCTAAGAAAAGAACTTGCTGGCTGTATAGGAAAATGCTATAGAATCATACTGTGTATATACTTCAGAAAGAAATTAGTTTAAGGAGTTTCTTCTGAGCACAATACAACATAGTGAAACTCTTGGTCCTGTACTGTATTATTTATGAAACAAATGCTTTAATATTTTAATTGAATGCGTGCATTAATATTTTCACCTTGCATTTAACCACTTTCTTGCTAAAATATTTTCACCTGTTGCTTTCCTCCTTGAAGACCAGATCCATCTAAAATGGGTTACCGAAACTGCTGTATGTTCCCTTTTTCTCCTGGAAGTGTCAGCCTGCATGCCCAGTTTGAGAGTGACTAAAAGAACTGCAAAGACCCCGTGATTACATAACGGGCTGGTTGTGGTGGGATGCACATGTGCTTTTTCTTCTGGTGTGAGTGATCTTACCTACTGTTGCACTTAGGAGATGAGTAGTGTTAGGTGGACATACAACAAACCCTTTCCAGAATGGGCTGTTATATCCATACATCTTTTGGTTTTGACAACATATAACATTTATTCTGTTGCTTCTGAAATACTTCCTTAAGCATTTGGGAAAAGAGAACATTCCTCCCCAGTCCTTACTCCTTCCCTCACCCTTAACATCAGAACTGTAGTTTCTAAGGCATGTAGTAGCAGAGCTTTGTGCTGCTTGGAGGGGAGACCCGAGCCTTGGGAAACCATCATTAAATATTACATCCCTGGCTTATTGAAAATCTCAGTTATAATGTGAAAATTAAGTATTTCCCCTTGAAATGGGGGAAGAAGTTAAATTATAGCAGCACTTGTGCACCATCTACTGGGGGAAAATCATTCAGCTGTATTCAGGAACAATATTAGACTACACAGTAACTTAACTGGCTATTGGTGCACTACTTAAGCTACAAAAATATATTAAGCTGTATCTAAGAATTTACGAACAGTAATTTGGCCTCCCATTGTGATTCTTTATCTCATCTTAAGATCTGCTTCTGAAGTTTCATTATTAGTATTGATTGAAAGTAAAAATGCTTTAACCAAATATTTTATTAGGTTTTAAATAGTTCTGATGTCATGTTATACAAGAATGTAAAAAAAAGGAATGAAAGAAAAATGGTCTGTTTCACTGGGCTCATAAGAATATTTTTTTTTCTGTTATTGCTATTTAGAATTGTTTTCCCTTGAAGTTCACTGCCACAGCAAAGTGATGGAGTTTTTTATGTTGATGCCACGTGAGTCTGGCCTTTTGGTTTGTGATACGATTAGTTTCCAGTATGCACAGGTGGGTCTGTTCACTCACACAGGCAATTCAGTAGTTGTGAGGGGGATACCGACAGCTGTGTGCAAGATTAGAGCAATCTTCTGATAATAATCTACAATTTCTATGGTAACTATTTAGTAAACAGCAGCAAATGATGGCATAAAGCTCTGAAGCCTTTCCAGGAATGTTCCAGTTTTAGCCAATGTGGTTTCCTCTAGAGAAACAGGTATTTTGAAGAATGTATTAATTTTACATGTTGGAATAAAACATTCCCATTTCAGATGTGTTCTCTTCAGAATAATTTGTGTGTATCTGGAGGATAATCCTGTATAAATAATGCACAGGTTTAAATTAGCCTTTGAATCTTCTCCAAGTCTATGGCACAGTATGGAACCAGTAAAAGGGTACATTCATATTGATAAAATGAAGATCAAGGCTGGTGAATGGCAGCAAAATAGTAACTTTAAAAAGAGGCCTTATGGTACTGTTGGTCCAGTAGCTGGGTAGATAGAACTTCCCTTTCCTTTGGTGTGCTGATAAATACAAGGAGATATTTGGTTTGGTGTTTTGTTTTGTTGTGGGTTGGTTTCTTTCCTGAAAGCTTCTCTCTCTTAATTGCAAAAGTTCTGGTTCATTTAAGAAACCAAGAATTTGGTGAAGAAGAAGCCCTCATGTTCAGAGCTGCAGTGTAAGCTGTACATAGTTTTCTTTCTTTTGCTTGGTGCCATTTTCTTTCCACCCTAATGACCTCAAAGTGCCTCGTGTTTATTGTTTCCATTAAACCTCAATTGCTATTTCTTTTTACCAAATGATGTATAATTTAGTTAACTCATCACATAAGTGTTTCCTTTATGAATATGAATATAGCTTGTTACTTTGAGTAGATAATGTAAATATGCCTTTAAGTTTGTAACTGGTTTGTTACATCGTATCCTTGTAAGTTGAGTTAGCAGATAACACCACAAAAATTGTTTAAATGTTTTTTTCCTGTAATTATCTGATTAAAACTGTCTCAAAATGAAACAACTGACATGTTATTCCATTCTGTGTTGGGATTACTCAGAACAGTGCATACAAAATTAAATGTTGCAGCTCAAGAACTGAACAAAAAGATAAAAATACAGGTTATCAATTTGCCATAATATTCTGTGTCCTGGTTAAACAAAATGTACCCGATCAATGTCAAAACAAACAATCTGATCAATATAAAAAATTTTATTACCTTCAAGCTCCAGCATCTTTTGTTGTAAGAATCATTTTGTAAGAGTAGCTATAATGTTTTAAACAAAAATATGCCTGTACCAGCTTGCTTTGTATCTGTAGTAGTACTGGTCCTTGACATGATGCTATAGAAGTCAGGATTCCTTCATATAAATCATGTTTATTTGAGTTACCACTCAACCCCATAACAAAAAATGTGTATGTCTGAATACAATTTAATTCAAAGCTTTGTACTAGGTAAAGAATAAGAAATACACCAGAAAAGGAAGTAAAACTCCACAAAGAAAAAATAGTATGAACACATGGAAATCTGTGAGACTATAATTTGAAAGCTCAGTTATCATGGTTTAGGATGGATTATTCTAAACTTAATCGTATTTGCCTCTGTTTTTTGCAAATGTGTTCTTATTGGTTATAACCCATAAAGTAATTCCCCCTGTTCATTGGATCTCACTTGAGGATTTTTTACTGTTGCATGGTGTAATCATAACATGGAATATTAACTATTGTTACCTAAGCTTTTTACTAATGATTTGTAAATGCAGCTCTACTAGAGAAAGGAAACAGACATTAATTAAGTGACTAACAAGGTGAGGGGTTAATAAGGAATATTTTAGGACTATGTGAAGACAATATATGAAAACGTGAGTCAGCATTAAACATGGTTTCATAAAAATGAAAAGCCTAGGGTTTGATCTTGGAGAAATCCAACTTAACATCATGACTAATGCACAATTTTCTGGTTTTGAACAAGAAAATAGTAAGGTGTTTTTTTTTTTGTTGTTGTTTTTTTGCAGGTAAGTCAAATTCAATTGCTGGGCTTTATAAATTAAATAAAATACTATAGTTAATCCACAGACTATAGTCTGTAGACCACAGACCTGTTGGCCAGTGTCTAAAGACAGTTCATAAAAAGATACCAGTTAGTCCAGATGCTCAGTATTTTGTATTGCTGTTGAAGATTTTTACTTGCTGTCCTTGATGGTTATGTGCTTCTGTACCAGAATGGAAAGACTTTGGTTTGTAGGATTATATCATCACTTCCATCGTTTGGGAATACTGAGCTATGTACTGTAATTAAATAGCTTGGAAACAGACATAACAAGTAGAGGGACAAAAATAAAAAATAATACCATGTTTCAGAACTATAACTTGAGATTGTAGAGTGTGTGCATGTATACACAGTGGGATCTGACTAAATTGTTCTTTGAGTACTGCGTTATGTGAGTGACTGGCAATAGTTGTTTTCACCTAGAAGGAAAAGAAAAAGAGGTAAGTCAATTCTTCAGGAAGCTTGTTGTTCATGTCCTGATTTTAGAAATTTGGGAATGTTTGAGAAGATAATGACTTTCACTGACAGAGTAAGCCTCTCAAATGAATTATGATTTCATCTAAGTGGTGATTTGGCAGACTCCAGGCACATCTCGGTGCCCACCAAATTAGATCTGATGTATTCTTCACAATGTACGTTG